ATCAGACGGGACCCATTGTGTAAATAATGTATATAAAGCCAGAGGTTTGGGGGAAAATTCATTCACTGTTTCACGAGCTGCAATAAAGAGCATGAAATCACCACGTGACTCTATTTCACTATCACTGTGTAAAGTGTCATGGTGCTGCTTTAAATATATCTCACAGGTGGGGTCGTAGTCTGAGAGCAGCAGGTCTGAGTACAGATGGTAGTTTTTAAGGGCTTTTGTCTACACCACAGTTGTATTAACTCCTTTAATAATTATGTCCTCCGTTAAATGTTCGGGAAAAGTCAGAAGCCCAAGGCAGTATAAGTTCCTCAACTACGTTTATTCAACATTGTCAGTGACAATGGCTCACTCATAGGAAAACAAAACCCGAACTCACAGGACTACTCAATAAAAGCCCCAACATCAACTGACAGTTGACAGTTGAAAGTGCATGCGCTTACTTGCCATTAGAACGTTCGTCTACCAGTGCTTATACGATTGGTTAGAATGCGCCTTGTAACATAAAAAGTGTTAAACCCAATACATAACACTAGGCAATCCTGGAAACTGTAGCTCTATAAGTATGGGTCTCTAACTGATCTTTTTGTGGGGAGGTTAGACGATGAATTTGCTGGTATATGATTGAATCCTACCTGAAAATAGAAACATCTTAATCTGAGTCAGTTTGTTCAGTATAATAATAATAATAATAATAATAATAATAATAATAATAATTTATTTATACCCCGCCCATCTGGCTGAGTTTCCCCAGCCACTCTGGGCAGCTTCCAATCAAGTGTTAAAAACAATGCAGCATTAAATATTAAAAACTTCCCTAAACAAGGCTGCCTTCAGATGTCTTTTAAAGTGTTAAATCCTGACAGGTAAACTTTGAAAGTGTTTCATTCTCCTCAGAGGAACTGGGATTCCAGATGCTGTGTGCACCCTGTATTTAATTGAAGCATAAAGTTTTAAACATGTGCAGAACCATCAGCTCCTCCTGGTGAGAATGGTCTGCAGTTCAGCAGGGCACTGAAGATCCCTGAGAAGAGATTAATGAAAATATACAGAGTTCCTGATTACATAACACAATTATGCAAAGCCAGCATTAATTAATGAAGTGCTTGGGGAAGTTTCAAACTTTTGTTTGTTATTTCTGGAAGGAAACTTTGAACAGCCTTTTTCTTCAGTATTGATCCCATTCATTAACTCATTATTACTAGGAATCCAGAAAATGTTGATCCCAGTTTGTTGCATTCAGGGCCTGTCCAAGATGTTTCACTACCTGAGATGGAAGACAATATATCCTGCCCTCATTTCACGTGCTTTTATACTACTGTTTGACTGGTTTCGTGTTGAATTTTTGTTGCTGGTTGATAATCTCCGGCGGGCTAGGGAAAAGGTGAGAGCTGTTTCCTAGTTCTGCTGGATCTCTCAGCGGCCTTTGGCATCATCGACCATAGCATCCTTCTGGACCGTCTAGAGGTGCTGGGAGCTGGGGGCACTGTTATATGGTGGTTCCACTCCTTTCTCCTGGGCCGTGTCCAGAAAGTGGTGGTGGGGGATGAGTGTTCAGACCCCTGGGCTCTCACTTGTGGGGTGCCTCAGGGTTCTGTCCTCTCCCCCATGCTTTTTAATATCTATATGAAGCTGCTGGGAGAGATCATCAGGGGGTTTGGATTGGGTGTTCATCAGTATGCAGATGACACCCAGCTCTACCTCTCCTTTAAATCAGAACCAGTGAAGGCGGTGAAGGTCCTGTGTGAGTGCCTGGAGGCAGTTGGAGGATGGATGGCGGCTAACAGATTGAGGTTGAATCCTGACAAGACAGAAGTACTGTTTCTGGGGGACAGGGAGTGGGTGGGTGTGGGGGTTTCCCTGGTCCTGAATGGGGTAACTGTGCCCCTGAAGAACCAGGTGTGCAGCCTGGGAGTCATTTTGGACTCACAGCTGTCCATGGAGGCGCAGGTTAACTCTGTGTCCAGGGCAGCTGTCTACCAGCTCCACCTGGTACGCAGGCTAAGACACTACCTGCCTGCGGACTGTCTCGCCAGAGTGGCACATGCTCTAGTTATCTCCAGCTTGGACTACTGCAACACGCTCTACGTGGGGCTACCTTTGAAGGTGGCCTGGAAACTGCAATTAATCCAGAATGCGGCAGCTAGACTGGTGACTGGGAGTGGCCGCCGGGACCACATAACACCAGTTCTGAGAGATCTGCATTGGCTCCCAGTACGTCTCCGAGCACGATTCAAAGTGTTGGTGCTGACCTTTAAAGCCCTAAACGGCCTCGGTCCTGTATACCTGAAGGAGTGTCTCCACCCCCATCATTCAGCCCGGACTCTGAGATCCAGCGCTGAGGGCCTTCTGGCGGTTCCCTCATTGCGAGAAGTGAGGCTACAGGGAACCAAACAGAGGGCCTTCTAGGTAGTGGCGCCCACCCTGTGGAACACCCTCCCATCAGCTGTCAAAGAGATAAACAACTACCTGACATTCAGAAGACATCTTAAGGCAGCCCTGTTCAGGGAAGTTTTTAATATGTAATGCTGTACTGTTTTTAACACTTGATTGGGAGCCGCCCAGAGTGGCTGGGGAAACTCAGCCAGATGGGCGGGGTATAAATAATAAATTATTATGATGATGATGATGATGATGATGATGATGATGATATTAAGCTGTTTATAAATTATTTTTATTAATATGCATTGACTGATCATAGACACCTTACTAGACCCAGCAGAAATATTTCAACTAAAACAGAACTTTTCAAACCCTAGGGAGCCTATGAAGTTTATTTTGGATAGGGGTTGGGGATTCTCAGTGACAAAATCCGTTTTTTAAAATTCAACACGAAACCAGTCAAACAGTAGTATAAAAGCACTTTAAAGTAATAACTGGCTTTTCCCTCAACTGCCATGTCCTTTTGTGACATCAGAGGCATTCTGTTGCTAATGGCAACAACTGGGGAGGCATCAGCAGAACCTCCCTAGGCCTGACAATTGTGGAGGCACCTCAACAGTAATTTGTTTATTATTAAAAATATTTACAGCTCCCCCTTCATATATACTCATGCAGTGTGTGTGTGTGTGTGTGTGTGTGTGTGTGTGAGAGAGAGAGAGAGAGAGAGAGAGAGAGAGAGAGAGACCGACCATAAATTCAGATATTTTCACTGTCTTTGAAGAAAAAGAATCACAACTACAGATAGATGCATTTAGAAAAACATGCATTTTCACTAATTTCAGCCTGGCAACTTGAGTTTCATCTATTTATGAATGTCCATCAGTTCCCTATCACATACCACATTTACACATACCATTTGCCTTACCTGCATTTGAAGCCTCCCTTTCATACACACAAGCATATGCCAACCAACATCCGTGAGGAATGCCAATGGACATATTCACTCATCTTTCACTCTCCGTTCATTTACATCAGTGCCCCAGTTTTAACCCACAAATATCCACCGGTTTCTGTCCACCAGCTTCCAGATATGAATGTCAACCAGCTTACATCCACAAACACCAACCTGCTTCAGCCTCGGAACATCCACTGGTTCCCAATGTGATCTCCACCAGCTTCCACCCGCCAACACCTGCCAGCTTTTGCTAGGTCTATCGCTAGACATCAGCCAGCTTGCAACTGTGAATAGCAGCTGCCTTCAAGCTGTGATCCCGCTCAGGAAGTAGACTTGCTTTATGGTCACCCCACAGCACCCCACAGCCAGGTGACTGCCTGCATCCACCTGCCACTTCTCCTCCAGGTGGAAGAAGACTGGGCAGTGCTGAATATCAGAGCTATTGCCCACTGTGTTCTGTTGGGGGAGAGGAACAGGCCCACCTTTATATCCACTCAGCTGCCATGTACTTTTGTGACATCACAGGTAGTCCGTAGCCAACGGCAACAGCTAGGCATCATCATCATCTCCTTGGGCCTCACAATTGTGGGAGCATCTCAGCAGTAATTGATATGTGTGCTTGTTTATTATTTAAAACATTTAAAGACCTACATGGACTGATACCAGGGAGGGCACGCCATAAAAATGTTATAGGGGACCTTTTTCAGCAAAAGGGCTGCATTCCCCTTCAGAGAAACACTCCCTCCCACCTCAGGATTGCATGCCAGTAGTGGTAGTGGGGTCACAGGTGGAGGGAACCAGCCAATGTATCTCTTATCTTGTGCAGTAGGCTCCATTTCAGCTATGCGGAAGTCAGAGGTTTCTACAGGCCCCGCCAGCTCATCTTTCAATCCCCTTAAACAAGAAGCATTATGAAAGTTCAAGGAAACATTCCAAACAAGCAAAAGCACTTGAGGGTGTGGAGTACAGCTGGTGAGGGGTTTGACTTGGAGAGAGGGCTGCACTTGACTCATGGGCTGGAAGTTACTTACCCCTGTCACAAATCCCAAGGCTTATATCCAACATTAGTTCTATTCAAAGTATTCTTCTTTCTTCTTTGGTGATCACTCATAGCCGAGTAAGACTGTCTTCCATAAACACGGTTTTAACAGTGAGTCCGTAGGTGACTGTGGAGGCCAGTTCTGGATCCACACGTCCTTCCACAGTGAGGACATAGTTTTCTGGGAGGAGTTGATCACGGTGTGGATTTGCCAAGCGTGCCTTCTCTTAGCATGTTTCTCCCTTTTACCTTTTCTATTCAAAGTAGGCCTATTGAATCAATAGTCCTTGTACTTGAATCCGTATATTTTGATGGGTCTGCTCAGAGTATTTGGACATCATTCCAATTATTACAAACACCAGCATACAAAGACAAGAAGAAAACTAAACAGAGGAGGAGGCTAAAATGCTAGTTTCACATTAAAAGCAAACTAAAAAGCCTGAGGGCACTTCTGAATAGGATTGTCAGGTCAGGAGTATCCCAGACTCTGAGGTTTTAGGCCACAAACCTCAGTGATGTCATGGGGCAGGTCCCTGTGATGTCACAGGGACAGGCTCTGATGATGTCATTAAGCATGACACATTAAGCATTAACCACAGCATAGCAGCTGAAAATGAAGAGCAGACTTTTTCAACCTCTGCCTGTTGTGAATTGTTGTTGTGAGGGAAACATGTGATACTTCTGGTCTCATCTAATGGATCTCAAATGATCCCAGGGAGGGGGGCCTCCCGTGATTAACCAGAAGGTCTGTATGGATGTGGAATTTCTGGATCCATGATCCAAATCTGTATCTCAATTAAAGGGTTGTTGAACTTTACTTAGGCACCCTGAGCTTGGCAAACCTGGGTATCAGCAGAAGCACCTGGCTTTGTCAAAAGAGCCCTGGCATTGTGGGTGCAAAGCAGAGCAGGACTGGCATCAAATCACACAAGTGACTGGGCATGAAAACACATTCGATTCCTGCAAATGGAGCAAATTGGGAGCATTTAACTTACAGAACGGAGAGCAGGGGGGAAAAACACAGTGGGCATTGCTTCAAAACTGCTTTGGCAGGGAAGACTGGGTCAAGGAGACAGATGACACCATGGATTTTCTTAATGTAGGGTAGTTACTCACCAAGGAAGGCACAGGATGACAGCTACTTTACCCTTGAGATGCCAACCATCCAGCCACCATAGCATGCTAACCACTGGTCTTCTGGGGGACAGTACCAGGCGTCTGCAAGTAAGCCTATAATTATGCTAGCTTTGAAGTAATTCCAGTTTAAATCAATTGTGTTTACTCAGGAGTAAACATGGTTAGGTCGGAGCTGAAAGTGCACAGTGTAAATATGTACAACTGTTTCTTAAAGCAGATGTATTATATGTGGGTGGTTCCTAAGAACAATAAGTGAGTATATTGAAGGTGGAATTTACTTGCAATTCATTAAGTACCATTTCAAGTGACTGCCAGGATTTCTAGCTGTTTGCCTCTTTAAAAAGTGGTTTTGTGTAATACTGAAGTGGAGATGTTCAGATCTCGCATGTAGTGAGATGCATGAGCAACATGTGCCTCCAGAACTCCTCTGTTTCACTACAAGAGCGCAAGGAAGAAGTCTGTGCCTCTCAGGGTTCCCCTTTTGCTTGTTAAGAGATGAGAGAGAGAGCAGAGGTTTATTCGGTTTCATTCATGAACTTTCCAAGTGGCTCAGCACAAGTCCCTCTCTCCCTCTCTCAAGTCCCCATCCTTTAAGCAAGATTAAGTGTGGTGACCTTTCTCCCAGAGCAGTTTGGAGAATGGATGGAAAGGAATGGCAACAGTGTTGGTAACTGACTAAAATTAATAAGTGGCCTTTGTACCCTCTGGAGGGCAGAAAGCAACATGAGTAAGCTGAACTTTCATGAGGTGGCAATGGGTTGAAGGAGTATATATGTAGATAATACACAACACAGACTGCTTGGGCATCTCTTGTGAGTCCAAGTGTGGTGACCACACAGGGTCCCAGGGCGTTTGACGGTCTATTGACCCTGTGCCACCACTGTGATTGCTTTCTTTGCTGCCACCAACCTGTTTCTCACGGGTACACACTAAGTCCAGACAGTTGTTAACATTAACAAATAATCAAGTTTATTTTATAGGCATGAACAAGCTTATGGTTTCAGTTAATTTTTCTTGTCAGTTTCTTAATCTTAGTTCCTTAACTGTCCTATTCGTTCCTAACAACTTCAAACTGATTATCCCATCTAACTATCTGACTCCACCTAACAGTTCCTCTCACTCTCACACCACACAACTTGACCAACCCACAGACTTATCCTCCCTCTTCCTTCTCCAACGCCCCACTCTCAACTGACTTCCACACAACTCCAACTCTCACTCTAACTCCTCCCCTCTGTTTCCACGGGCCAATCACTTCACACTCATTTAACCCTTTCCTTATGACCCACCTAGGAGCAAACGCCACACCAAGCATCTGCTTTCTCATGTTAGCTGCGCAAAGTTTGAAAAGCAGGCATGTTGGAGAGTTCCCACAGTTGGAGCAGACTTTGGCTCTCCACATCTCTGTATCTTGCCAGCATTCTAGTGCATATTTTATTCCCAATACACACTTTTTAATGCAATTTTACCTAATATAAATATTTCTGCAAGTATTTCCCCCTAATATAATGCATTTTATCTGTTATCTCCACTAATACATTTATTTATGAGCACTTTCCCATAGAATATACATTTTTTTAGCACACATTACTTGGTTGGAGAACTTCACTGCAAAATTCAGAGAAGTGCACATTTTGAAAGATGGCCGTGCTTCAAGTTTGCACATGGTCTTAAGAAGCATCAGATAGGCAAATTCGCCTTTAAATGAGAACTGAATCAAATTTGTCCCTCGCCCTTACTTTGTGTGTGTGTGAGAGAGTGCTTGAGACATAAAGTAAAGCCCCTCACAAACGTCTTGAGCTGACAAATCAATTCTTATAAAAGGGCCATGTCCTTGCGGCCAGCTGGAATGTAGAAGGAGGCATTTGGAACGGGGAGTGCAATTCTGGGAGCAGCTGTCCTAATAATCTGATCTATTTCTGAGGCTGATAAGTGTAGCAAATCCCTCGTGCTGTCTACTTGAGATAAACATTTCTTTTAAATAACTGATGGTATCAGTTTCCTCACTGCCTGGCCCATATCCTCAGTCCCATTGAACCTGGGAGTTTGCTCCAGCTGGGATCTCATCCAGTTCCCGTCTGTTGACTGGCCAATTTATCTTTGTGGTCAAGTGCACAGGACCATGGCTATATTAATGGCCGTTTTGTGGCAGGCACTCCACCCCCAGATCAAAAGCCCAAATCTAGAAAATTCAAATGTCATGCTTGAGTGATCCTGGCCCCAATATTTGAAATTTTGAAATGCAGTTTTAAAAATAAATAAATTCTGGCAGGGAGCAAGATGTTGGCAGGTGGAGAACTATGACTATGAGATAGGTCATAGAACTACGTACCACCACTTACCAAATGTGGGTAGAAACCATAAGGCAGGAATTGGTAGCCATATAGGGCATCAAAGGTCTAACCCTTTCCCATTGAAATCCATGTAGAAATGGGAGGAGACAGACTTAGTCTCGCCCCCAGGTAGAACTGGGATGGAAATTATCATAATGGGCCCATCCATCCCTATTAATACATGAATAGAGATTAAGTTGCTTCTGGAAGCAAATCCCACTGAATAGGTAAAAGGTAAAGGTAAAGGACCCCTGGACGGTTAAGTCCAGTCAAAGACGACTATGGTGTTGCGGCGCTCATCTCGCTTTCAGGCTGAGGGACCCAGCGCTTGTCCACAGACAGTTTTGCGGGTCATGTGGCCAGCATGACTAAATTGCTACTGGTGCAACGGAACACCGTGAGGGAAATCAGAGTACACAGAAACACCGTTTACCTTCCCTCCACAGTGGTACCTATTTATCTACTTGCACTGGTGTGCTTTCGAACTGCTAGGTTGGCAGGAGCTGGGACAGAGCAACGGAAGCTCACTCCATCGTGGGAATTCGAACTGCTGACTTTCCAATTGGCAAGTTCAAGAGGCTCAGTGGTTTAGACCACAGCACCCTCCTTGTCCCTACTGAATATTCTCTCTGTGATAAAAGGTTTTTTTTTTAGTCCTGAATCTCCCATCATTTCGCTTCATTGGACAACTCCTGATTCTAGTAGTATATGAGAGAAAGAGGCAGAGAGAGAGAGAAATCACTTCTTCATCTGCTTCCTGCTCACTGGTTTTGCGAAGAAGAGGAGCTGCTTCTAAGCACTCTCTGAACAGAAAACTTAGGATGCCCTCAAGTATGTGCTGATTGAAGAGCTCCAGGGGTTCTTTCAAAACATGAATTGCAAAATAAACAAACAACTTTTGACAAATTGCATTAATATGATGATGGAAGGTGGGCAGGAGCTCAGCACTGTAGGATTCCACCTCTTCATATTTGTTGGATGTCCCTGACTCTGTAGCAATTTACCTTGCCCACTAATTGCCATTCTGCACTAATTAGTGGGGAGAGTCCTGAGATTCAGGGTGGGAGAGCAAAACAGATTGAACTGGAGAAGGAACTGGTTTATATCAATCCCATCTACGGCCCCTCAGCAACTCTCAACTTACTATGACTTTTACAGTGCAGTGTTCTCAGAAGGAAGAAAATGAGGATAGGATTGTGGCCTTTATATATTTTATGCAAAAGGGGGGGGGAGTAATAGAGACATACCTTTCTTTTTGATAATGTCTTGCTTCCTTTTCAGGAAGTCTTTAAAAATGAGATTCATGTTTCATTTATATTCTCTCTCTGTCTTTCTGAATAGTAGCCATTCTGTGACATTTCAGATTGCAAAGTCTTATTAAATCTGAGGCTGTTGCCCTAGGGTAGGAATGAAAAACACCTTATTGCAAGGGGAGGAGATGCACTGCTTTGTCACAAACTCAATCACCTCCTCTGTCATTAAGGGAATTTTGGAAGCCCGAGCTGATCTATAGCCCGAGTTTCAAGCATTTTTAATAGTTAACATTCCACATTTGCTGAAATGATTTGGTGAGATGTGAGAACTGGTTTTAGAAGGGTTTTGAGAATTACATTTTAAATGTGAGTTTTAAAACTATTAAAATATAGAATATGTTGGCCAAATTTTAAATTTGTAAAGAAATATTTTATATGAAACATTTAACCTCAAGCGTTTTAGGAACTCTTGAGTATAGAAACAGGATAGAAACTGTCTTGGCTAAAATGGGGTGGCAATTCTCAATTATCTAACTTTTCGCTCTGAAATTTCTTCAAGTTTCTAGGGTGGAATCTGCACACATGTTAAAAACACTTTTTTTATAATCGTTTTGAAAAATGCATTGAATTTGCTATAGGTCACAGTTGCCATCTAGTGTCGCAATTGTATATTGCACATTACAACACATTCAGAATGTTTCATTTGCAGCTGTATAGCTGAATCCTAGATCTCATTGTTGGTGAGAAAAACTTGACAAGGTGTGGCCAGCATTTTGCTTGCGTATCTCTCCATTCTGTGGTATGGAGGTGCCCACTTTCCCTTGCCAAAACCAAAAGCACAACCGTGACACCTCCAGGCTTCATGCATTGCATCCCCTACCAGCCCAATCCTTACCAAATGCCTTGCAACAAATGTCGCCTTGTATCTTCGCTTCCTTAGCAGAGAGCTCTTGTTCAGCAACATTTCATAGCTACTGATCATAGGGTTATTTAAAATATTTATTTTGTACTTCTGCAAACTCCAGAATTCTGTCAGCGTGCTGACACCTTCCTCTTGATTCCCAGGGGTTCTGTTTGGGTTCCATTCTTTTGGCATTGACCGCTGGAATTCCCTATTATTTGAAAAATGATACCTTGCCAGTTGCTTTTATAAAACTGGGTGCCTCTTTTCTTCCCATAACTTACACTTCTTGCAGTTCTGACGTTTGCCGGTTGCTCAGTCTGAGGTTGTCTATTATAGAGCTCAGGATATAAACTTCATAAAGTTGAATTAGCAAATTTAGTTGCCACCCCCCACCCCGGAAATAACCCAAGGCACCTGTTTCAGCTAAGCTAAAATATTTCCATTAACTTCAACTTAGGCTATGATGAGCCCTCATTTTGTATATTTCAGATACCTAATTAACTTGCATGGAAAGCTTGATTACAGCAAAGATGGGTAAAGCTCTGGCATGAATTAAACATAACTAAGGACTGAAAATACATGTAATATTCCCACATCAGTGTGATTAACAAAACAGAGTATCTTTCATTTATGTTGTCAGTTGCTCCGATAAAAATGCCAAAGCTATCAGCAAGCCTTCTGTTTATAGCATTTTGCTGATCTCCATACCATATCTATGCAAACCATAAGTGGGTGCTATACTTGAGCCGTGTATCAGCAATCCTGGATCTCCGCCTTGCAATTCCAAATGATGCCTCACCTGCATGTATCTCATGGAGACAGCTGCCTTCAAAAGCACCAGGATGGGTAGAACATATTACATCAAACAGAACATTACCTGCAGGTCCTGAAATATTATCTATATGTCACAGAATGCAAAAAAAATGGGATGCCAGACACTTTAGGTAGGTAAAACTGCAGGTAACCCACACACGTTAAAAAACACAAATCGGGAGTTTTGGATGAAATAAAGTAAAAAGTGAAGCAAACAATTTAATTCTGAGAACTACCGGCCGGCTGACTTATCAATACAGTGGTACCTCGGGTTACAGACGCTTCAGGTTACAGACTCTGCTAACCCAGAAATATTACCTCGGGTTAAGAACTTTGCTTCAGGATGAGAACAGAAATCGTGCTCCAGTGGCACGGCGGCAGCAGGAAGCCCCATTAGCTAAAGTGGTACCTCAGGTTAAGAACAGTTTCAGGTTAAGAACGGATCTCCAGAACGAATTAAGTTCTTAACCCGAGGTACCACTGTAGTTGCTACAGAGACGCCAACAGATCCAACAATGTTAACAAACAGAGAACTTCTGAATGTGCTCACTGCATGGGCTCAACCAACATCACTTGGCTTCAGCAAATAAAGGCTCTGTAACTCCCACCTTGGAAACAACAGAATCACATTTTTATTGGAGCAACTGATGATGCTAGAAGCCGAAATGTTTTGCAGCATGGGGGAAAAAATAGTCTGTTTTGTTCATCACAGCAATGTATGTGCTCTTTTAATGATTAATTGAATAAGGCAGAAGAACAATTGCTTGGATGTTGAAACAGAGAGAAGAAACTCATTGCTGCCGGAGAGGGAGGGGGGATGTAAGGAAAGTGTTAATCTGATATACGAACAGGAAGAAATTGGACATTGTGGTTCTTAGAGAGAAATGATGGGGATCTAGGCAATTATTCAGTACTGATCTGCCCTGTGATAATAAATGTGCTACAATAGGGAAAGTATGTTATTCACAGTTTATCTTTTAAGGAAAAAAAAAAACCTTATTCTTGACTCCTTGTCAGTCTAAGCAATCAGCTTTCCCACAAGGTCCCACCAGTGTACTAAGTCCTTCTGCTCAGTCCCTCAGCACTTGCGCTACAGAGTTCCATGGGAGTCCCACCATGTCCCCTATTTTATTTTTATTTTTTTTTATTTTTTGCTGTCGCCTATACATTTTAATATTCATAGGAAGCCACTGGGTGAGGTCCCCTGGGGATTTGGTGTGAGGAATCTTCAATATGTTGATGATGGTTTTACTTATCCTTGTCTTCAGAGTCAGATGAGGCTGCCGAATTTCTGAACTGGTGTCTGGATTTGATCATGGGCTGAACGATGGCCAATAAACTGAAGCTCAGTACTAACAAGACAAAGGTCAGAAGCAGATTTAGGGGAGCGTGACTGGTTCCCCCGTACTGGGTGCTGAGCCAAGAGGGTGCTGCAGGAGCTGCTGCAACAATGATGGACAGCAGAAGGTGGGGCTGAATTTAGGTGTCGCACAGAGCACTACTGAAATATTACAGCCCAAAGCCTGCTGGGTGCAGTGGGTAGATGGTTTTCTTGTTCAGAAAGAGGATGTTCAACCAGTTCTCAAAAGAGTGATGCTCCACCTGAAAATGAAGGTTTTTTAGCATGTGGCTCCTCCTGTGTTCAAGTGGCTATATAGCACAGAGTTTCTTCCACAACTACGTATAACTTTGTTTGCCAGCTGTGGTCACTCCTGAATAGGCATAGTGTGGCCATAGTTAGCCATGGTAAACTCCCATTTTGATTGCTGCAATGTAATACATGCGGGGCTTCCTTTGAAGGAGGCTTGGAAGTTTCAGTCAATGCAGAATGCAGCTGCCAGAATTTTGTATGGGAGCAGTTCATTTGGATCACCACCCACCTGGTTTAAAAAGTGCCTCACTGACTGCCTACTCATTTCACAGCCTAGTTCTAAGTGTTGGATGGCTTGGGATCCAAATACCTAACGGAGCGCCCATCTGCGTACTATCCTGCCCACATTCTGAGGGCCACTGTTGATGCCCTTCTCAGAGCGTCTCTTCCATCTGAAGTGAGATTCATGCCAACTAGAGTGGCAGTGAGGTATAACAACAACAACAACAATAATAATAATAATAATAATAATAATAATAATGTATTATTTCTACCCCACCCATCTGGCTGGGTTTCCCCAGCCACTCTGGGCGGCTTTCAACAGAACATTAAAAATAGAATAAAACTTCAAACATTAAAAACTTCCCTAAAAAGGGCTGTTTTCAGATGTCTTCTAAAAGTCAGATAGGTATTTATTTCCTTGACATCTGGTGGGAGGGCGTTCCACAGGGCTGGTGCCACTACCGAGAAGGCCCTCTGCCTGGTTCCCTGTAACCTCACTTCTCACAGTGAGTGAACCACCAGAAGGCCCTCAGAGCTGGATCTCAGTGTCCGGGCAGAACGATGGGGGTGGAGATGCTCCTTCAGGTATACTGGGCCAAGGCCGTACTGGGCACCCTGGAATCTATTCTGATAGTTTCTTCTATATTCTGAATAGTTTAAAAAAGCAGTTGGAGGAAGAGTCACACCCCACCAGCAGTTACCTTCAATGCATTGAAGGGAACATTTGGGTGACACATCAGCTGAGGTTACAACGGCCCATTAAGGCAGCAGTCTTAAGGTCTTCTTCTTTGGTGATCACTCGTAACCGAGTAAGATTGTCTTCCATAAACACGGTTTTAACAATGAGTCCATAAGTGACTGTGGAGGCCAATTCTGGACCCACACATCCTTCCACAGTGGGGACATTTGTTCCCAGGTGAGAGTTGATCATGGTGTGGATTTGCCAAGCATGCCTTCCTCTTAGCAAGTTTCTCCCTTGTGCTCTGAGTTCGAGTCTTAAGGTAGTGCTCCTATGGAAACACACTGCGTGGGAATCAAAGGGATCACTGTCAAAGTTTAATACGATAGTGATGTTAGTCACATTTCTCAAGCATTTGTGATCATTTCTGAAAATCAGAATGTGGAGGTAAATAAAGCCTCATCTTTAAGAAGCCAGAGCAAACTTTTAGCACCCCTCTGACTATTTGTTTCATAAGGAGATGCATCAGGATCTGCACTCCAACGGAGACACTAATGGGCTCATTACTTATCAGGAGTTTCAAGCATAGAAGCTATTTCAAATGGCTCCTAATTTAATCCACTGTCTGTATCACCTGCATGCATATTGTACGGACTGTCACTGCTTCCACACACACTGACAATGAGGGACAGGAGGAGCAATTCAGTCCAGTTAAGATTGCAACATGAGCCTACTTAATTCTCACTTCTTGAAACAAGATGTGAACCAAAACAAGGCCATCCGTCAAAATTCGTGTTTCTCTTAATGTTGTGATACAGTTGTGCAAACAAATATTTTGCAAAATAAATAAATAAAGTGTAGAAAAATGCACATATTAGGGGGCAATATGCATATCTGAAAGTGCACCCTGCTTGCAAAAACGTTTGTTAGGCAAAATTGCAAAGACAAATGTGTGTATTAGGTGAAATTCACACTAAGCTGATGGTGATCTTTTTGCGAGGAGCTTGTAAGAAAATCATAATCACATCTGATGCAAAAACGGCAGACTGAAGTTAATATAGAAAAAAATGAGAAACTGAGAGAAACTGTAATTGACATATTTGCTCGACCCTACTGATAACTGCCTGCTTTCAGCAGCCTAATGAGCATCTCCAAGACTAAAAATTGCACAGCGCTTTTATAGGTGAACAGAAGCAGGGCTGCTACTGTCTTCTGCATTCTGTGTTACTAGCATTTAGCAACAAAGAACTTTGACAAACAGAAACGGCATCAATTCACCAAAGTTAGATCTGTGCAGCAGATTTTCTGCCTGTGCGGTGAACACCTGCTGTGCATTTGACCTTCAAAACAGCCTCCACAGCCCCCACCGTTCACACGCTGCGCTGCAGGTGGGACTGCATGTTCAGTCAGCATAGCAGAGGAAGGCACGGACAATGGCAGTCTAAAGCTGGTCTGTGGTGCTACAGCTCCCCTGCTGCAAAAGAGGCTGCTCAGTGTGCCGTCGTTCGCTTGGCTTCAGCTAGAGCCAGGAGTGCCACGGTAGCAATATGACTTACTGTAGGCAATCAGCAGTGCCACATGACGCTCACTAATTACAGTTTTGGAATGGAAAACATCTTTGGAAATGCGATTTTTTTTCTCCATTTCTCCCTAAAATAACAATTATTGAAAAGTATGCCCTTTTCTAAACCTACTCACTGCCATAGTTTTCCCTGGTGTTGACACCATGTTACCTGAAGATTCCAGAGAAAAAACCTGGGACCTTCCAACTGCCAAGAAGATGCTCTTTTGGTGAGCCTTCGCAGCCATTTTCCAGTTCTACCATGACTAGATAAACATGGATCAGTCATCATTTCGCAGCTTTGCCTAGCACACGCATGCACTTACCTAGGGTGATCCCATCTATCTGCAGTAGCGCCTCCACCCCCATCGTTCAGCCCAGACACTGAGATCCAGCTCTGAGGGCCTTCTGGCAGTTCCCTCATTATGAGGTTACAGGGAACCAAGCAGAGGGCCTTCTCAGTAGTTGCGCCCACCCTGTGGAAAGCCCTCACATCAGATGTCAAGGAAATAAAACAACTATCTGACTTTTAGAAGACATCTGAAGGCAGCCCTGTGTAGAGAAGTCTTTAATGTTCATTGTTTTACTGTGTTTGATGTTTTAATTTGTTGGAAGCTCCCCAGAGTAGCTGGGGAAATCCAGTCATATGGGTGGCATATAAATAATAATTTATTATTACTATTATTAAGTGGGTCTTCTAAGTAATCCAACACTTCATTCCTAGTCCAACCATGGGGCCACACTGGCTTTTGACAAATGAGGCCTCAGTGGCCACAGATCTCCTTTAAAAAAGTTGGGAAATACTCATGTCTGAAAAGAGCCACTGTCACGCAATGTGGATATTACTGAGATGTATGGACCAATGCTCTGATTTGGTATAAGGGAGCTTCCTACATTTCATGAAGCTCAGTACAGCAGTTGACCTGGACCGCTATGTCACAACCTAACCTACCTCACAGTGAGGGTAAAAAATGGAGGTGAGGAGAGAACTGTGTGAACTAATTGGACTACTGGAGGAAAGGCAGGATACAAATGTCATGAACCATAGGTAAGCAATGGGGTGTCCTCCAGATTTTTTGGACTACAACACCTCTCATCACTGGCCATTGACTATGCTGGCTACGGCTGTATTCCACAAACATCTGGCAAGCACTACGTTGGTTACAAATGCAATAAACCAATAAACAGTAACAACTGTGAAACGTGCTTCATTTTACATCTGGAATGCAGATCGGTCAATTTACATTTCACGGCGATAGATTCAATAAATGGTACGAACTGGAGTACTTTCCCCCAAAGCACATCAAGCCACCACAGTTGCAAATATTTACAATTTACAGGTGTGCACCAGGGAGACCTTTTATCCATAGCTGGTATAGCTGCCTGCGTAGAAAAAAATAACAACGGACAGTAACCCACCCATACAGCGACACAGCACGACACACCCAGCAGTGCAGGACCAAAATATATGCTTATTCTGAAGGAAATATACTGCAGGGAAACTAAAACAGCTGACAAATCAGCTGCAACAATGAGGATAGCAGCCCGGTGAAATCTTAAGGGAATGTCTTTACTACTGCTGAGTGATTTAAGCCTTTTTAAAAAAAGAAGTCTTGTGATAAAGGAGCTACCTTGGTGCTGTCATATGGGTCATTAACCCTGTACCTTGAGATTTATTATAAATGACACATGCTACAGTGGTCGTGCATCAAGGTCTCGTGGCCCAAACTGATGGCACCCTGACAGACCTTTCTCCCTGATCACACCAAAGCCATGCAGGGAAGGACCACAATAAAGTAATAAGAGAGAGCGGTTGTTTTTTTAATGCAGAAGGCTTTACCACTGACATCCCCAATTGAAATGGCTTCTCTGGTATAGAAGGACAGGAAAGATGTCTCTGCCAAAAACAATGGAGAGCCACTGCCGGTCAGAACAGATGGCACTGAGCAAAATAGACTCAATTTGCTTAATGTAAGAAACATCCTTGGGATAAAGTGAGTTACAGTAACTTGGATATTCTATTAGCTCTTTCTGAAGTCTTCATGGTAACCATTGTGGGGCTTGCAGTGAAAGCTGCTGCTGCAGGTAACAACCAAGCGTAACACACTGCAAGTATTAGCTTTATTTTGGCATTCGCTCCCATGTGATTACACTCGTGTGAAGTGGAGAGTGGGGCTATATATGTTGGCCATGTTCTCTCAATCACATCCCTATTGGCCTGGCCCTCCCCTGCAAGGGGAGGTTGGAAGAGGAGGATCTGCTTCCCCCTTCAGACCATTCCCTCCAACGTGTGGATGGCAGTGGGGCCAGGCCAACGGGGAGGGTTGGGGTATGCAAACACTGCCCTCAGTCTCCCCTGACACAATTGTAATTGCACGTTGGGTGCAACTATGAGACGCATACGTCACAGGAAATTCCATTGCACCATAACAATCTTTACGGAATGCCTAATGATCCAAAATGCTGACCAAGGTTGACCTGAAGTTAACATTAAAGCACAAAACAAACTGGTTGGCCTTGTATAAATATTACGTACAAATGGCAAGAGGGAAGCATCAGGCCTGTGGCATGCTGTTCACAGATTCTTGGAACTACTTGAGCAGGTGGCTGCCATTACCAAAGCTGGTATTGTGTGATGCGTTTATTTGGAAGGTTTACTCCTCCTTGCTGATGATGGGTAGCCATTGAGATCTTCTTGTTCTGTGATGTTATGCTCAGAACTGTCATGGGAATAGTCTTTCATGGTGCTGTAGAAGACAGGAGCATTGTACTGAGTGGCAATCTCTGTCCTCTTCCCCCCACATTTGCATAGCTTTTTGAAGGCAGCTCTAAACTTCTGAGACATCACATTGTAAATGATGGGGTTGATGGCGCTGTTCAGGTAGATGCAGAGCCTACAGAAGAGGACGAACCAGATGTTCAGGTAAGGAGGGTCCATGAAGGAGTTGACCACCACCAAGGTGCGGTACGGCATCCACAGGAGGGCAAAGAGGATCACCACCACAGCTAGCATCTTCGTCACCTTGGAGGTTGCAAGCAGAAAAACAAAGTGAGTGAGTTTACATCTTTGTCAATAAGATTTGCTTAATAATCTGTGGTGGAAGGAAGAGGAGAGAATTCACTGCCAAGTCATCTAATAAAAAGTTCAGAATATGGCACAGATTATATTTTAGTTTAGGATGCCTAAACTAACCCTGAACACTCTTAAATGGATGGAAAGTTCTAAACTTCTTCAGCCAATCACTCTAACTGGCGTATTTTCCAAGTGGTGCTTGTTTTTAATGAAATCTTACCAGCTCTGTCTCTTTAGATAGTCCTATAATGAGTCCCAGTTAATTTTGGGTATTGCCTTCTACCTTGTCATTTGCTGTCACTCTGTTCATTTTCTACTAGTGTTACAAAGTTTATTTCTTTTCTGAGATTTCTTCTTTGACAATTGGAATAAACAACACATAATCTTTCTTCAGTCACTACAGTGGAGGTTCCCAGAGCACTGAGCATTCATCCTGATTTGTCTACGGGGAGATTAGGCAAAGATGGCTCTTAAAACCGAACTTCATTCTGATTTGTTTGCTGGGAGGCTGGATGCTTCTGCATCAAGCAACTGTCACCCCACCCTTTCCACTGCACTTCCCTTATCACAAAAAGTTCAATTTGGAGGGAAGTGGGCTTGCTATGCAACAGCTCTAAATCAAATTTATTTGTGCACCCTGAATTTGCTAGTATGTGATTTGATCCTACCTGAAAATAGCAACAATCTGGAAGCGCCCCATACGATAACTTACCATCAACTGATCAAAGACAGGTAAAGTACATCAGCCCAAACCTATGTAGAGTTAGGGGCATTTAAGCCCACTCATTTTAATGGGCTCAGGTATGGTTGACTATGTAGCATTGAGCTACATATGCACAATGCCAAGCACTTACCTTGAGACAAGAATCATTAGCATTCAGCCCCAGTAAATAGTAAATCAGGATTAAATGAGAAAACAACATGGGGTGGCATGGATGCCAGGATGATGTTGTGTGAACACTGCTCAAAATTTGCATGCAGGAACAGCACCAAGGCAATGATGAACTGCCACATGAAAGCATCCACTGTTTCCACAGATGATGGAAGGGAATTTGAACCACCATCCGTCTTGTAAAACACAAGCAGAGCATTTTCCTGAGCACATTTTTCCCTTTAGAGAAGGTTGGGAACTGGGGATGAAGGCCAGCAGAAGTCAACATTCATTTTGGGCAAATGCAATTTTGAAAACTGTTATCTCCCTCCTCTCTGCCCAATAGAACTAGGAAGGGCTCTGGTGGTAGCACTGTAAACAAGGGTGCTTGTTTTGCCTTAACTTTGAAGGTGCCGTAATTTCTCTCCTCCAGTTTTTCTCTATAGTTGTTTTTTTAAAAATGATATTTATTAAAAGTTTAAAAATTACAGAAAAAAGAAAAAAAAGAAAAAGAAAAAAATAACAATAAAAAAGAAAACGAACAATAACAAAACATATACAACATATAAAAGCCATACAACAATACAGCAAAAAACAAAAACAAAAAACAAAACAAAAACACACATCTAGTATTCCATATCTTTACCTTTCCTTTACTTGTTTCATTGACCTCCTCACACCTCCCTTTTTTTGTATTCTAATTCAATTCACTATTTCAGCAAGTTCTTCCCATCTTTCTCAATTTTTATTCTATAATTTATCTTAACGGTCTAACCTTGAATTTTTTCAATTTAACCCATTATCAATCTACTTTTACTTAATTCTTTGTTGCATTTCTACTAAAACCATGTAACTTCATTCCCGCATCCTTCTAACACTCATTAATTTTACAATGTTTCTGTAAATATACTTTAAATTTTTTCCAATCTTCTTCCACCAACTCTTCTCCCTGGTCTCGAATTCTGCCACTCATTTCCGCCAGTTCCATGTAGTCCATCACCTTCATCTGCCATTCTTCCCTGGTAGGTAGATCTTGTGTCTTCCAATACTTTGCAGTGAGTATTCTTGCTGCTGTTGTAGCGTACATAAAGAAAGTTCTATCTTTCTTTGGCACCAATTGGCCGACCATGCCCAGGAGAAAGGCCTCTGGTTTCTTCGGGAAGGTATATTTATATACCTTTTTCAGTTTTTCTCTATAGTTTTTGAATGTTTTTCCATTCTGTGGAAGCCTTGTAGAATCAAATAGATCTACTGGTGGTTAGTATTAAGCATTCCCAGACACAAGCATGAATTCCAGATCTGGCCTGACAAAAGAACCTCTCCACCCTTCTTCTTTCTTTAATATACAGCGCGGCTAATGAATACACATATCAAGACTGTAACAGAACCCTGAGAACAATGAAGTGCTGTGAGTTAAGATGTACACTACTGTTCATCTCAGCTGTGTATTTGACTCCCCCTTTCTTCTTAATGCATTCCCCTAGTATTGAAAGTTGATAATCATTGTAATCTTTACAAAGAGCTGTTCAGGGGATGGTTGATTATCCTCCCCCTCAGCATGTAATTCATTGAATTCAAAGGGGCGCACTCCCCCTTTTAGGAAGAAAAAAATGCTATATGCGTGCTGAAAGGACATACACTCTTAAACATAAAAGGGGAGTTAATACATTTGCCAGAAAACCGACTTTTGTGCTGTAACTTGAAACACAATTACTAGGGATTAAGCTCCATTGAACTCAGTGAGATTCACTTCCATGAAAACATGAAAAAGAAGACCAGGCTGCTTGTCTTATTTCAAGCTCATATTCCCTTTCTGTCATGCTTGCTCTGCGGTTTAAGGCTGGAGGCAAGGAGCTGCTTAGTGCCCTTCAGGAGACATATGGTAGCTCAAAGATGGTAAGCTTAATAAAGATGTTGCACTTGAGAACCTGGAGCAAGAAAATGACTTTCTAACAGACCTCTATGGCCAGCTATTATGTAGGCAAGAGAATGAAGGGACAAGGACACTTTCTTCCCATCATGGAGGACTGCACTGTGAATCGTAGTTACATTACAGCTAAGAACAAAGCAGACCTGCCATTTGGGAACTGCATGTCAAAACTTCAGTGATGGAGAATTAAGCATGAAAGGATAGAATATAACAGTAGAGAAAGAACATCATTCAGATCCTAGCTCAGTCACAGATCCAACCTGTGGCTGGGTATCACGTCTTAGCTGTGGTGATGTGGCAGCCTCAGATAAGGGGCAGAAAGGACTCAGGTTTGAATCAATGATTCCTCTGTAAACAAAAATGAGAGGTGCAAGGGAGGCTGCTCTTGCCTCACCTGTCAGAAAACAGGGAACAGAAGATTCCTCTCAAGGCATTAGATCCCAACTGACCTAAAATATAACACTTTCTAAGAACAACAACAAATCATGTGCAATATATACAGCCCTCGTTTGCATGTCGCAGTAAGACATAAACAACGTATTTTCATAAATGAGCAGATAGCCTCTGCCTTGCTCTTCCCCTAGCATGGTTGGAAGCAACAAGCCATGAAGTTTAGCTTGTTGTGATGTGCAAACACTGGATCATGGTTTGTTTCCCTCACATATGCCATGATCGATAAACCAACAAATGGCTTCATGTTGTTCCAGGGAAGAAACAAACCATGATCTTGCATTCACATGTGACAACAAGCTGGTTGTTCCCACTTGAGCTAGAAGATGAGCAAAGTGGGATGTGGGAACACAGGATATGCCAGGAGTTGAACTTCAGTGTACAACCCATGTGCTCTGCCACTGAGCCACAGTCCTTCTCCTGATCATGAATAAGCAGAGTGACATGCTAATGTCCACATGCAAATGTGGCTGTAATGCAATTCACTCAAATCCACAGCATTAAGTGATTGCATAACATTCAACGAATGCATTTTAAGTTAATGTAGCATGAGCTTACAGGCTAAGATACTGAATGCATGAAATGTCATCTCAGATGTTTGGGATTACCACTGTTGGAGGCTGGGAGACGTAAGATGACTTGCTGGTGAAGATGGTTTCTCAGTTACCTGAAAAGATGCAGGTGACAGTCTGGCTATTGCAACTAACAATGGCAATGATGGTGAAGCTTGGATGCCAAGGATGTTTTGATGGTGAAAGAGAGAGAAAAAAGAGAAACAATGAGTGCACACAAACATAATAGAAACAATTAACTGGAGTGAAAAATTGATCACAACTGAGATGAAACCTCATTATAGAACATTAGCAGTCAGCATTTTGAAAAGAGCACAATGTTGTTGTGAACATGTAGTCGGGATGAAATCAGGCGAGATAGCATGTGCCATGAGCCAAGAAGTTCTTGGTTCAACTCTGATCTTTGCCAAGAGCTCATTCACTGGAAGATGGAAAGCTACCTTGTACCAAATAAGATCTAGCTCAGTATATCCTACACAGATGAACTGTGGCTCTCCAGGAAGATTCAGGGAAGTCTTTCCCAGAGATGCTGGAGATGCTGAAAACTGAACTTAGGACTCCCTGACTGCAAGGCAGATGCTCTGCTGCTCAGTCTTTGTTGCTGTTAAAAGTTGACCCAGCACACCAGCCATATACGGTAGCCCACCAGGGTCCCATTGCGTTCCACAAATGTAAACTCTTGCACTGATAGGGCACTTTAGTTGGGAGCTGCCCAGGATGCTGTATGAGACTGGTCATTGGTCGGATCCAGAAGGGCTCTTTTTATGTTCTTAATCCAAATTGAACTCTGATTTTATCATGTGTGTGCTGAGCGGATTTTGTACTATTTTGAAGTAGGGCTAAATCACAAAATTAAGTGCCACCTTCAAATATCTAAAGGGCTGCCACATGGAAGATGGAGCAAGCTTGTTTTCCCCTGCTCTGGAGGGCAGGGCTTGAACCAATGGCTTCAAGTTACAAGAAAGGAGATTCCGATTGAACATCAGAAAGAAATTTCTGACAGTAAGGGCTGTCAGTAAGACAGTGGAACAGACTCCCTCAGGAGGCTGTGGACTCTCCTTCCTTGGAGGTTTTTAAACAGAGATTAGATGGCCATCTGTCATGTATGATTTTTAAAACATCTCTCTCTCTCTCTCTCTCTCTCTCTCTTTCTCTCTCTCTCTCTCTTATCCTGGCCACTTCCATGTTGAAATAAAACCAAATCCCACAGGCCCCTGGCCTAGAATATGCTTCTGTTCGAGTCTGAGGCCCTTCACACATTTCCTGCTAAAAATCACCCCCCACCCCTGGCAATTTTGACAGAAAACTAGTTCAGGGTCTACAATGTAGCCTTTAGTTTGGCTCTTCAAAAACACAGGAAGACAGAGAATGAATCAAAAGTGCATGTAAGAATTTGGGGATTCTGTTTCTCAAGCTGCATTCATCAGTGAGAAAGATTCTGTTGTGGCCTTTTCATCGTTTGAAGAAAGTAAGCACACACCCATCAGCCCTCCTTTGAAATAGCTTCGTGGAAAAATAAGCACCACACCCCTGAACATCGAGCAAACTTCCTTGTAAATATCTGCAAAGTCTACAACAGTTTCCTCACTGAGCCGGAAACTATTTGCCATTTTGTCATATTAGCAAAACAGAATTTCATTGGGTTGCTTTCTGCTGACTCGAGAGGTTTGCATTTCTATGTAAATGCCAAGAGGTTGCATTTTGAGCAAAACGCCATAGCAATACTGAATGAAATTTGCTGAAAGAGGCAGCAATCATATTGTGCCTTTAGGGCGGACCTTAAAGGCTGTTTGAATAGATTCCTCAACTTTCAATATCCTCATGGAATTCAAAATAGAACGAAATCAGCTCAACCAGCTCGAGTCAGGTAACAGCTTTTAAGAGAGCGGAAAGCGGATGAAGAGAAGCATTGCTTCCCATGGACAACAAATAATTGTTTTTGCCCCATTACCATCTCTAGTCAAACAGTGTTTCCTTGCCCCCTTTCAAAAACACTTTTAAAACTTTTAACTTCAGTTTTTGAAAAGAATACAGAAACCCGTTTGCCAGAGGTTACAGAGAAATGAGAACAAACACTAAGAGTGCACACTTTTGAACCAACTGCCACATGTCTCCACCCTTCATTGGACAACAGCCAGAACTCAGCAGATAGGACAATATCCACCAGGTTCCATCTATAACCCACTAAACGGGGGTAGAAGACTGGTGGGGAACAGTCCAAAAGTGTTTACTGGCTTATCTACCTGAAGTAGCGCCTCCACCCCCATTGTTCAGCCCAGACACTGAGATCCAGCTCCGAGGGCCTTCTAGCAGTTCCCTCATTATGAGGTTACAGGGAACCAGGCAGAGGGCCCTCTTGGTAGTGGCACCCACCCTGTGGAACACCCTCCCACCAGATGTCAAGGAAATAAACAACTACAGTCATACCTCATGTTATTTTTGCTTCATGTTACGTTCTATCAGTTTACGTCCTGCAGCGACCCAGAAGTACTGGAAAGGGTTACTTCCGGGTTTCGCCGCATGTGCATGAGCAGAAGCACATGCGCATGCGCAGAAGCAGCAAATCGCAACCCATGCATGCGGATCCCGTTCGCAACCAGAGGTACCACTGTACCTGACTTTTAGAAGACATCTGAAGGCAGCCCCTGTTTAGGGAAGTTTTTAATGTTTGATGTTTTATCGTGTTTTTAATATCCTGTTGGAAGCTGCCCAGAGTGGCTGGGGAGGTCCGGCCAGATGGGTGGGGTATAAGTAATAAATTATTATTATTATTATTAAATTATTATGCCCTTCCCCACCAGCTAGTGGAGGATAATGCCAGAATAACTGCCCTGAGACCCCCAGGTATAGGGCGGTATATAAATTCAAACAACAACAACAAGCAGAGCACCTCCTGCCTGATCTTAATTGGTGGGTAAAGCAATACTGGGGAAGGCACTCCTGCAAAATGGCAGTTTACTATATTCCTGTGATATAATTAGTACCTGTCTGAGAGAGCACCAAGGGTTGGAACAGATGTGATGGAAGCACTTGCCGTGAAGTGCACTCCATCCTGTATAAAAGCATTTACCGTATGAGCAAGACCATTCCTGTATAAAGGTAGTACAAGCAATTGAGTATACTCTGTGGGCCTGCTTCACCTGTTTGCTAGCTCTGCGTTGTGAATGGGTCAGCTCACAAAGGGGGGATTTTTAATATACGATGAGGCGCATCTGAAATCACTATGCATTCAGGCACTTGCCCTGTGGCTGCTGCCATAACTGCTTAGGGGGAAGGGCTGTGGCTCATTGGTAGAGCATCTGCTTTGCATGCAGGAGGTCCCTTGGGGTCAGACTCTGGCATCTCCAGGTAGGGCTGGGACAGAGACCTTTCTGAAATCATGGAGACAACGCTGAGCTAGAGGGACCAATGGTTTGACTTGGTAAAAGGCATCTCCCTATGTTCTTAGGTTTTGACCATAACGTTGCAAAGAAAGGAAAGCATATAAAACCCAAAAGTCAAACTCTGGATAAGATGAGATGTGGACTGCATAAACATCTACACACACACACTGTGAAAATCTGCTGGTATGCACATACCCTAAAATACAATCAGCGCATCTAATCTACATTAGCAAATGCTAATCTACATTAGCAAACACAGCATGAGATTCTTTTCTTCTGTGACCCCCCCCCCCCAGCCCATCAGTGAAATAAATGCCCCGTAAGATCATGACTGAATTCCTTCTAATAAAATGATGTGAGTTTTGGAGTACAGCCCGCCGGTGACAGGGGTGCTGTTTTTTCCATTTGACTTCAGTGTCCTTTAGATTATTCAATTACATCCAGCAGTACTTCAATTAGAAAAAAACAAAGTAGACCAACATTGCCAAAGTACATATATAAGCAGTTGCTCTAATCATGGCAAAAGATTAGCCTCTAAGGGCAATTTTGCTCATTGCTTGAGGGCAAACTCGGTTTTGCTATCAGATCAGACAGTTTCAGCTCCAACAACTATACCTGTATGGTATATACTAGTGAAAACAGCCTGCGAAACATGTTATCAGCTGCATCACTTCAAATATGGATGTTGTGACTATGTCTATTTCTTGCTAGTTTAGCTGGAGAAGGTGACATTGCTGCGGATGGCTGCTCCCATACAACCCTAATGGTATAACTCAGGAAAATTTTGTTGAAAAAAATTAAAAGAGGAACGAAGATTGCAAATACACGAATACTTACCAGGTAGAAGGCAAGATTGGGGGTGGGGTGGGGTGGAGAGGGTGTCACAATTATGTTTAGTTGTCTAGTTGTATTTTGTTATACATCTATGAAAACCAATTTAAACTGCTTTTTTTTAAAGTCAATTTGCATGACGTCTCCATTTACAGAAACAATGGTGACTTTCACACCGTGACTGGGTCCACCTGTCACATTAAACCATAGTTTAAAAACAAACTATGGCTTTGCAAGGGATCAGGAATCAGATTCCTCTTCATCAAGAGATAGAGCTGAAAATTCCAAACCAAAAGGGGAAGGATACACAAAGCCAGCGCCAGAAGCAAGGCTAACAGAGGAGTCTATGGGCCTCAGATTGTGACACTGCTCTCCCATACATGGACTCCATTGCTGAAGCTCCAGTGAGCCCAGAGGATCCTCACTCCATTACAGCAGGAGATTCCCTTTTAATTAAAGCAGCACCTTCCAGTGTGGGCGGGGCTAAACATTAGGATGCAGCTCCTCCTCCTATGATATAGGGCTCAGTTTGAGATTATTTTTGGGTGAAGCAACACCAGAGCTCCATGTTCCCAGAGCCCTGCCCCATAACCTTCCCTTGCACCTAGCAGGGGCCTTGCCTTGTCACACAGCAGGGTAAAGTTTCATGTGGGTGCAAAATGCACTGCTGAATGGTTCTCACTATACTCTTCCCTACTTCCTGTTCGAACCCAGGCATGTGGTGGTTTATTTGGATAGACAGGAATGACAAGCTCAGGTTCAAGTGCCATGACAAGCCAGACTGGCATAACAGTTGTGGGGCAGCTGGGAACAGAGTGGAGCAAAGACTTTTCAGCAGCATGCACCCGCTCTCAGTGGTATATTATAAGGAAACGCCAGCAAATACAAGGCACGAAGAAGCTTTACTTTTTAGTTAAAGATTGGTGTCATCTGTTCATGACTAGGTCAAGGAAGCAGTTGCTGAATTTCGGGTTAGGGGTCTGTTCATAGCTCTCTGTCTCGCTAGTACAGTAGAAAACCTTGGATGGCTTATTCTGCAATTGGAGCTTATGCAATGCAGCTTACTGTGGAGTAGATGTCACCTCTGAAGGCTTCGAGTTCTGTTTGATCTCTCCCTAAACTCTCTTGCCTACCAGGCAAGAAAAGATTTGACAGCCACGTTTGGTATTTCAGGATTGTGGGTAAAACAGAACCTTCAAACAGTCTTACAAACTGGTTCTTCCGGCAGATTTCCAATAAATTTCAGTGAGGCAGTCAAACATGGGAATGGAAGAGGGGCAGGCTAATGAAATAAAACTGATGCATTGGATCTGAACCATTTCAAATTCATCGGAGTCTATTAAATTAATATTTTGCCTCAAGACTTCAGTGACTGAATGAGCAAAGAACTGTGCTTTTATTCACTTCTGCCTTCCCTCCGGGAACCTCTTATGGAATCCAAAACATATACTCAACTCAGCAATAAGGAAGAGAGAATACCAATTTCAAGAGGCCCTTTCTATTACTCTAGGTTTATCAGGATTATAAAACAATGATGCAGGTTTCCACTTAACACTAGTGCAGAGATGGGGAACCTGTGCCCTGCAGATGTTGTCTGGCTTCAATTCGCGTCATCTCTTCTGGCTGGGATTGCAGTAAAAGAAGAAAGTTTGCCACATGGTCAATGAAAGCTAAAGTAAATTTGCTCTGGGGAACAGCTGAGAAAAATTGTGGTTCCTTTTTGTTTTTGTGTGAATACTGGAAAACCACGTAAAACATTATTAACGTGTCTCCATTCTTCACTCAGAAGAGCAATAAAAACATTCTTCTGGAGAATAGATGGGATGGGAATAGGTGAAAATGGGATTAGCCTTTTGTGCCCTTGGGGACCATCTGATTCTTTAGGTCAGCGGTCAGCAAACTTTTTCAGCAGGGGGCCGGTCTACTGTCCCTCAGACCTTGTGGGGGGCTGGACTATATTTTGAAAAAAATAATAATGAATGAATTCCTATGCCCCACAAAAACCCAGAGATGCATTTTAAATAAAAGCACACATTCTACTCATGTAAAAACACCAGGCAGGCCCCACAAATAACCCAGAGATGCATTTTAAATAAAAGTGTACATTCTACTCATGTAAAAACACGCCGATTCCCGGACTGTCCGCGGGCTGGATTTAGAAGGTGATTGGGCTGGATCTGGCCCCCGGGCCTTAGTTTGCCTACCCCTGCTTTAGGTGGTCTGTGTTTGCAGTATAACTGGCAATAAACCAGTATCTGCACTGACAGTTGGGCTCCCTTGTGGGCCTCTCTATACCAGATGCTGGGAATCTCAAGTGGAGAAGAGGGCTGTTGCACTCAGCCACCCATCGACATCTGACTGGCCACTGTAAAAACAGGGTGTTGGATAAGATGGGCCTTTGGGTTCTTATGTTCTGCAATAAAGTTAGAACTACATAATAGTCAGGACTATGTACAGTTATGGAGCACAAGCAGACATGGCTGATGTGGTGTAGTGGTTAAGAGTGTTGGACCTGAGAGTCCTGGGTTCAAATCACCACTCAGACATGACACTCACTGGGTGACCTTGTGCCCATCTCTCAGCCTAACCTACAGGTGAAACTCGGAAAATTAGAATGTCGTGGAAAAGTTCATTTATTTCAGTAATTCAACTTAAAAGGTGAAATTAATATATGAGATAGACTCATGACATGCAAGGAATATTAAATGAAATCAGCAAAACAAGGACTGCAAATAGAGCAATATTGGACCTCTGAGAAGTAGAAGCATGCATATGTACCCAATACCTGGTTTGGGCCCCTTTTGCATCAATTACTGCCTCAATGCACCTCAGCATTGAGGCAGTAATTTGCTCCATTTGCCGTCCTTGTTTTGCTGATTTCATTTAATATTCTAATTTTCTAAGATTGTTAATTTGGGGTTTTCATCAGCTGTATGCCATGATCATCACAATTATAACAAATAAAGGCTTGACATATCTTGCTTTGCATGTCATGAGTCTATCTCATATATTAGTTTCACCTTTTAAGTTGAATTACTGAAATAAATGAACTTTTCCACGATATTCTACTTTTCCGAGTTTCACCTGTACCTCTCGGCGTTGTTGTAAAGATAAAATGGGGAGAAATAAGTATGATGCCCTGAGCTCCTTAGAAGGATCTCATACACATTTTAACGAACCATGCACATATGTGTGTGAGCATGAATTTTACATGTAAAATCTTTAAAATGTGGCAACTTAAGAACAGCTCCTGGCACAGAAAAATGTCTTTGCCAAAGACCCTTCTGGCCATTGCCTTCACTATAAAAAATGTTGAGAAGGTTATGTAGCAAAGACATTTTTCTGTTCCTTGAAAAGGTGTTTGGCTATATATTCTGGTATGGTTCATAATAAAAAAGTTGTTTTCATATGCAAGGGGCTATAAACATTTTTAATGATTGGTTTACTGCCACTATTCTTACAGTACTTGCAGATAATATCATTTTTAATCTGGGACTGAGAGCTCATAATGTACTCAGAGCAATACTTATGAATGAGAAAAGTGTGTCTATGTTCCATTGAAAGCTAAGGGTACACTATGGAATTAAAGATTTTTTCAGTAATAGCATAATGAACAATCTAAATGGAAATAGGATTTGGGTTCTGAAAACCCAGGGAAAGTATAAAATGGCTTTGGATTAGAAGATCTACATTTTTTGAAGTACAGAATTAAATTAAAATATTTTAAAATGCCGTGCAATTGATACTGGAATTTAAAATGCATGGCACAATTATATACTGTTGCAAGCTGTGGAGATGAGAACTTCTTTAAAAGGGTCCCCCACCTGCCCCATAGATGTCTTAGAACTGCCTTATTCAAAAATGCCTGGAAGACATTTGGAGAATCATTTCAATAACTGTGGATTGTAAAATACAGCTTCTTTTACCAGAAATAAATAAGGGTTTGGTTCCCAGTGAGGAAGCAGAATTAATATCAAACCTTTTCATAGCTGCAAGGTCAATTATTGTAAAACATTTACAGTGGTGCCTCGCAAGACGAAATTAATTCGTTCCGCGAGTTTTTTCGTCTTGCGGTTTTTTTCGTCTTGTGAAGCATGGTGTCGGAAAAGTTTTGGAAAAGCTTCAAAAATCAC